GACAGTATATATCAAATACCTGACAGTGGTTACTCATAAGTAAGCCATAAGCTATAGTCTGTTCTCCTAAATGCAGGATATGAAATAACGTTTAAATTACCATATAGAAAGACAATTTTAAGTTGAATAGGAGAAATTTTCTATAACATAATGAGTTCTAAGGAGCTAGATAGCTTTTCATATGAAGGTGCATTTAATCACATACAGTGTAGACATTCACACAGGGTGAATGTTGCACTTTGCATTGCAAGGTATAGTAGTTGGTATTTTCCAAATGACACAAAAAAGCATTTCATATGCTGAACACCATAACAAATTTCTCTATGTTCATGTAACCAGATTATAACCCACAAGTTGCAATATAAAATATTACTTAGTGATCCAAAGATTTTAGTGAATACTCAGGATACTAATTTTATAATACAATATAATAATTTTATTTAAAAATTATCTACAAATGGAAAGTATGGAAAAAGAGAATTTCCATTGCAAGTTCCAGATTCAAATTCAAGGATGTATTTAGGAATGAATGAATGGGTGAATGAATGAATGAATGAATGAATGAATGAAAATGTATATGGCTGCCTAATTCATTCTCAGTGACTTTGGGCAGCTTACAAAGATAAAAATTTCACATAAAAACAATAAAAAGCCATAACCCCCCTGAAGACAACAATCAGTCAATCAAATAAGCCACTTGATGGGCCTCATCCCATTCTGGGTTCCCCAGGTCTGTTGGCAAAACCAGGTCTTCGGCGCCTTGTGAAAGAGTGTAAAACTGGGTGCCAATCTTATTTCTGTGGGGATAATGTTCCAAAGGGAGGGAACCACCATACAAAAGGAGAGAGGATTTTCAGCATTCCTTGCCCTCCCCACTCTAGTAGGTTGGGTAGATGTGATTAGATCCGCAGTTTATGTTCCATGAAAATATTTTTTAAAATGAATTACTGAATTAATTTAGAATATTTTAATCCCTGCCCAACGCTGTTAAGCGTGCTTAAGTCCACACTGAAATGTAACCATTATAAAAATTCAGATGACTTGCTTTTTAGAATGTTTATGTGTTACAGTTAAGCAGTATTAGCCATTTGTTATGTACTTGATGTGAGAAACAAGGAAATGGGATAGAAAATGGTTGTGAGCAAAGAAAATAACCTGTCATTCATGCAGGGACCAGCCACTGAGAAATCCCACTCCATATAAAGTGAAAGGCATAGGGACCAATTACCTTTCTTCTCTAATGACTGCTTCATACTCTGAAACATTTCACCTCTTGAGGTGAAATATCCTAAACCTTATAGCCTTCAGGAAGGTACTCAAGACTATTCCACTGAATCTTTGGTGTTAGCGGTCTAAGAGCTGCCATGTACTTAGCTAGTTTGGGAGGGTTATTAATTCTTTTGTGGGGGAGTTGTAAATTATGAATGTTAGTTAATTAAGGACAGCCTTGAGTCCAAGGCAAGCAGCATATAATATTTTGTAGAAATAAATAAAATGAATATAAGTGACAAACCTGCCTCTCTTAGCTTCGTTTCCTTGAGCAACAAAAACTACAATACTAGAACAGAGGCAAATGATTGGCTGCTTTACATCCCTTGTTAAAAGAAGTGTCACAATCCCAGTATGACAATGAGTTGCTTCTTGGCTGTCAGAAGTAACTGAGCAAAAGGTATTTTTTCTCAAGGGTCTATGTGCTTCTTTTCATGCACCTATTTCATACTTTTTATGTATGGAATAGATACATATCTATTTCCTTAGATTCTTATGACTATAATTTGTTGTTTTATCTCATGATTTATGTTGGTTGCTTTTATTTAGTATCCTATTAAGATTTATGTTGATTGCTTTAATAACCTATGACTATCACTGAGTATTGTATCTATGATTTATGATGATTGTATTTTATGATTATGATTATCACTTGTTGCTTGTATGTACACTGAGAGCTTATGCACCGGAGACAAATTCCTTATGTGTGTCCAATCACACTTGGCCAATAAAGAATTCTACTTTTATATTTCTATTTCTATTTATTTTTTCTAGTGATCATTAATGTCTTATGAAGAGACGAATCTTGATTTGCCAGTGTGTGTACTTATGCCCAGTAGTTCTGGCTAGTAATAATTTCCTGACAAAAGTTTCTTAGTGATAAGAAATATGGATTTGAGATATTCATATCTTCATTGAGATTTCCTTAACATATTCTGTGTATACTAATTCCAACAGCTTGTGTTATCCATATTATAGATTCATATATGGGTCTTTCACATCCCAGTAATATATTTCTTCACAGCACCATCTGCAGCAACTGCAATGATGACAGAGTGTCAACTTTATACAAATGCCACCCTTATACATTTGTATTTCAGTTTCTGACACAAACATGTAAATGTGTGTGATAACATTGTTGCATGCATTTCATAATTTGTCTCCCTGCCATACGCATCTCTTCAGGGACTGCTGCTCATAAACATTTCATTCTCTAAGTCTCAAAAAAGTCCTTCTGCTGTTTTGATCATTTCCTTCTTAACTTTTCACATATCTTTTCTCTTTGGTCACCACATATCAGTTTATTTAGCAAATGCTTCTTAGTCTAATTTTATCATTCTATATTCATACACTCAGTTCAGTTTTAATTTAATATTTAATCCATTCAATTTAACCTCAGTCGAAACTGCTCACAGCATAATAACAATAAGTATAAAAAATTTAAAAAGCAAGAAAAATAAGCAGACGAAAAAGTACAGAACAAGAATATAAATGTAAGTCCAGCCAAAAACACAAAAATACTGTATATCCCAGAAGGAGCTACATCCGCTCCAGCTCTAGCCCAGTACACTATTGGAAAAAGATACTAGCAAACCCTTTTTCAATGTTCAATATTGGATCACAAATCCTATCACTATCAAAACAGAGTATGTCCCATCAATATCACATGAGAAGGCCTGATTTCCTAGTTTATCTAGGAAATGTCAAACACATTTATAATCTCACAAGTTAACAAGCAAGCATCAAGTGTTGGGGGGGGGGACCCACAGTGCTTTCCCTGCCTTAAATGGAGTATTATTGCTATATCTCAATCTTACAATTTTCAAACCACATACTGTACTTACAAAAAGACTATATAGTTTTGATATTTTGTGTGAAGATAAATATTTGCAGTCAGTAGTATGCTTTATCACTCTATTACACTCTGATTTGTTTTAATAAAGTTGCAATTTTTTGAGCTTAAAAGTAAATGTTTAAATTTCTTTTAGAGAATTAAAACTCAGATGTTTTCCAAATTAAAATCTGCAGGGCCTATAATTAGGATAACAAGACTTGGGTTTTTTCATAACATATTGAAAAGTGAGAGATTCCTTAGGAATGTTTCTCTGACCTCAGGTCTTTAAATACAGACTGTTATGAAAGTTCCTGGAATAAAAAGGGACAGACACTGTTCATAATTGATCCCATGTTATCCTTTGTGTGTACACAAAGATTATCTTAACGTTTGTACCTTATCCTGTGTGATCTAGTGATAAGAAACATTATAATTCCTTTAACATTAACATAATCCCAGAAACTTCTTGGATGAGAAGCGAAATGTTTTCAAAGAAAAAATTAAGAAAGTTCATTTGCCTTTTGGAAAAACACCCTTGGGACTCTACTGGAGAGGTTTAAATTAAATTAATTTACCCAGTTTAAGATTGTCACTTTGGGCTATTTACTATTTCTAAAACCAATGTACCAGAAGATTGTTGGGATGATAGGAAATGTTGAAGATGGGAGTGCTAATAAAACGAGTAATTGGAAGCTTTGTCAGATGCTGTGGTTTCTCTGCCTGTTCTGAGTGAAGATATGAATAGGTGTTATCTATTTGAAGGTACAAGAGGAGACGTTTTAGTACTCTGTAATTTGGTAATCCTAGAAACACCTAGTTTACCGAGTTTACTGAGAATTAATTCTATTGCCCTTTGATATCTCACTGAACTGGTTGGATTAGGCTTTCAAAACATTGTATTAGAGAAAAATTAATGGACTTTATACAGGTCACAAAATTCAGCTTTTGTATGATAGGCTTAGAATTCTAAATTTGCTTTCCTTAGCTAGGGTTGCCAGGTGTCCACTATTTGAGTGGACAGTCCACTTTTTTCACGTTATGTTCACTATTTTTTTTCACATGATGAAATGGTACGTAATCTAAAGCTGTACAGTCTACTTTTTTTACTACTTAAACCCCCCCCCCCCCCGCTTGTCCGCTATTTTTGGGAAGCAGACCTGGCAACCCTATCCTTAGCCCATGTTTGCATTATTGGCTATATAACCTTAAGGAATAACAATTCTATCCTACGCATTGCTACTTAGATGGTTTAATCTCTGTCTTGATGTGTTTTTGTTTTTGTTTACAGGGGTGTACTGAAGCCTTGAAATCTACTTCCTGGTAAATGGCCAGTAGGAATATCAATCCAAAAACGGCTTGTAAAAAAAGTACGGCATCTTGTTTTGTTTTTAATTTTATCCAGCAGGTTTTAAATCAGTCCACTCATCACATCAGTGACTCTCTCCCTCCCCATCCCCCTTCAAAGCTGCTGTTATTCGCCTGCTGTTATTCTACTTGGAAGTTTGAGCCCTCCGCCGGCGGGACGCGAGCGGAGAGAAAAAATGGGCGGGAACGCAGCGTTGCTTCTGTTCGTTTCGCAACCTGGAACGGCTCGAGGGCCAACCGCGGGTCCAGCGCGCCGATCTAAGAATGGCAACGGCGTCTTCCGAAATACGCTGAAGTTTAGCTCTTTTGTAAGCGTTGGGTTTGGGTGAGGAAAGCGGCGAAAGAAAGCGAGGAGGAGCCCGGAGCCGAGGGTTATGCTCATGTGACCGCTGGCGGCACAGGGCCGGGGGGCTGCTGAGAAGTAGCTGCAACTGCTGCCGCTTTGCCCGTTTTTGGAACTGGGTAGCAGCGACAAGAGACCGGAGGATTCGCTCCTCTCAAGGATGCGAAGCCGCTACGCCCCAAACAGATGATGGCGATACGAGAGCTGAAAGTCTGTCTGCTTGGAGTGAGTAGCGACCGAAAGAAAGGAAGGAAAATACGGGAGGGGGGGGGAGAGGGATCTGAGCAGGAGACAGTGGATTCTGGGTAGCGAGTGAAGATTTTAAACAAACAGCGTCCCGCACAAACGACCGACAAGAGAGCGCGAGCCGAGCGCAGGGAGGACGGGCGCTGTAATGCAGCTTGGCAAGGCTGCGATTTGCAGAACCAGCTTTCTTTGTCTGCCTTTTGGCCCGTTTCTAGTTGGGATGCGGACTGGCTTTCCGCTCACTTTACTTTTTTTTCGATTTGCTTTCTGGGAATTTTGGCAGCTCAGGCAGTTAGACTAAATAAGGATTAAGCAGGCATACTTTCCTCCTCCTCCTCCTTGTCCGAGATTTGTTCCAGTTACAGTACCGTCCTACTTTTGTCTGTTGTCCTTTTACCTGATGGGAAAGGCTTATAGCTATTCTCCTGGGAGACGTGTTTTGATTCCCGTAGAGGTGATGGAACCCCATTGAATCTCTTTAACGATGGAGAGTGCGCTCGCAATGTTGAATGCTGCTTTATATCAAATTAAATAAAAAAACTTACAGAAACTGTAATTCATGTGGCAAGCTGGTCTAGTAGCCTTCCCGTTAACCTTTTGAATAAAAAAAAATGTGAAGAGCGTTTAATTTTGACATGGAGTAATTTTTCTTGTAGTTTTAACCAGTTATTAAGAGTAGGGCAACTACACTCCCACACCTGCATTAATGATCAGATTCAAAGATAGGTAGTTGTAATTTTTGTAGTGATGTTCTCTTGTTGGGAAATGTCCCTTGAGAAGTATTATTTTCAACTGTTAAACTATAGAAATCTCGTTCTCCTTTCCTTCACTCTCTTCCACAAGTTAAGTGTGTTGTGTTTTGTCCTAAATATGGTATTTTTGTGGTTTGTATTTACCAGATAACATTTTGAGCTAAGAGAAGAAAGAGATTGCTACACACTTTAACTGATTTTGGCTGTAAGTGGACAGAAATTGCTTCAGTACAAAAAGCAGTTCACCATGAGATGCAACTCAGCAAAAATAGTTTTGCTTTGTGGCTAACCATATCCTCTTTTTAGAATAATTCTCTGCAGTGTTATGGTGAATTCCTTCTAGCTGATAATTTGCAAGCCCATATAGACTAGTTCCAGGGAATTCTTCCTTTCTTTTCCTCCTCTTGTTTTGTACAGTCATGGTGATTTAATAGTTTAATTTTTACACTGCCTAGATTTACCTTCCATCATGAAGAAAAAAAATAGTACAGCTATTTATTATGAATAAACAGTTCACATTTACAGCAAAAAAAGGTGCAGGGATGCACTCATGATACTGTTTGCAATTCCTTAAAAGTTTTCTTGGGATTGCATTCCATTTTAAGAAGTTGCAGCAACTACTGTATAAATGTATAAATATATAGAGAGTACCCTTGTTATATTTATACAGCCAGATGTTCTGTTCACACTGAAGTTAATTTAGTCTCTGCTCTTGGATTCTCCTATTTCTGCTCCATTCCCACCTATGCCAAGAAAATAAATACGATTTATTTTTTCTTTGATGGGCTTGTTTTTCAAATACAAAGAAATAGATTACATTTCCACTATTGAATCTGTAAAACAAAGAAAAAGATCAAGTGGCCCAGCCTGTCATGACAGTCACCCCAGCAAATCAATATAAAATTACCGTTGTAGACAGTGGGGATTAGATGAGATGGGTTGCCTGCTAGACCAACTCTAGCCTATTGATGTGGAGGCATTTATATTTATTTATATACTGTATTGAAGCACCTGTTACATGTATGTATAAGGATTACCACTCATTTTTTGTAGGTATAGATTCATAGATTTGGAATTGGAATTTTGACTGTGGAGTCCTATTCCCCTCTCTGGGTAGGTGTCAAAATATAAACATCACAGCAGATGGCTTTCTTGCCTCTATTTGTGTACATTCAGGGAAGAAGAATCTTGCTATTTCTCTGGATAATTGGAGTCACTATTGCTCTGTATTTAATGTCAGGAATGGACTATCTGGAATGATAGAAAATAGATCTTGGCTACTGTCTATGCAAAATTCTTTTAGATCATTCAGTATTACTATATTCTATCTCAAGCTGTGAGAAGCAGGTAGACCAGGGGTGTCAAACTGCCGGCCCCGTCAAAACCTCACCCACCCCATTGTCGGCAATGGGGAAAAAGTCACGATACGTCGCAACGTGTCACGTGACATTGCGAGTTTGACACCCATGAGGTAGAGGAATTCTTTTGATATGAGACAGGCAGTGTTTTAAAAATTTACCATCTTAATTGACTTGCTGCTTGGGACTTTTATTGTTTTCAAGTTTATATTTTTTATATCTGGGTGGGTCTTGCTTCTTGGGTTTATTACCTATGTGTGGCTTAACATTTCAAGGCTATATAGGCCCAATACTTTTAATTTCCCTTCATGGAACTAGTTTTCAGTCCTCGAGCTAGTTTTTAGTCCTTCATGCTTAATTTGTAATGAACTTCTAAGATGTTTTTCACAAGTAATTTTGCCCCTGATCTTTACCCAATATTTTGATTCCTGTAACATTTGTTTCTCTTAAATTTAATTGTTCTGCCAATTTTCTCTCAATATCTCTCAATATTGTTTTAATTTTATTTGTTTATTATTAGCTATCTTATCAACTTTATGTCAAGTGCAAATTTGATAAACACATCCCCCACCTCTTCATTCAAGTAATTTATTTAAAAGTTAAAGAAATGAGAGTTTAGGATTTCAATTTATAGCACTCCACTCAATGCCTTCTTCCAATCTGATAAAGAACTATTGACGAGCATTTTTTCAGTTCAGTTTTTAAGCCAAGTATGTAGCATTACATTTTTAAACCATTCACCCTGAATTGAATTTAGCTAATCTCAGTATCTTTGTATACTTTGTCGGATTTTTTTTCTGGAATCAAGGTATATTATAACTAAAGAATCTGTTAAGGAATTTGCTTGATCAAAGAACATGAGACAAGGTTTGCCTGTCAAAATTTGTTCTAGATAAATTGGTGTTGCGTTCTTTCTTCTTTTACTAAATTTTGAGTATAATAGTATTGTACACAACTGATTCAACAGAATGTGTGACAATAGTTGTAGAGAAAAAGAAACAGCACTTCCCCTCTTTAATCAACACTGTTCTTTCTAATATATTCAAATATGCATTTGCTTGGCATGGTGATCTGCTTCATTTCTGCAGACTAATGGAAAATCTGTACTTAGCTTCATTAACTTTGATGAATTTTCATTCCACATAACTTATTTTTTTCTATTGATTATTTAAACCAGATGCCTAAGACCATTTGGAGGAAAACAGCTCCCCATAATTCCTCATACATTTTATTTAAATACTGAGATGTATTTTTATTAAATAAAATAAAATGTTTCAAATTTAAAGGAAACAAAAATGTTCTGTATCTTTTTATACTTCTGTTGTCTCAGCAAAGTTCAAATTGAAAAATATTATATTTTATAAAAATACTAATGCAGTGCTGAACATTATTTTCTGAGTGTAAATCCAACACTTTTTCTGTAAAAATGTGTTTCATAAAAAAATAAGGATAGTTTGTTCAGTATTTTTATTTAGAAACAGCATATTTTGATCTTTCTTAAGCGAAATGAAATTTATTAAATTAATATCTACTTAGGTTTTACAGAACATATTACATATTAATTTGCATAGGGCTATCACTTTAGTATTTTGAAAGGCTAATATCTTAGAAAAAACACTAATAGTAAAGTTAGATTCAGAAGTATTTTTTAAGACAGAAACAACAGGATACTAAGCTTGTATAATTCTTCAGAATATAAACAATTTTGTTCTTGGAGTAGTAGTTACTGGGTACACATTTTTTAAAATTTAAATAAAATTTAGTCTAGGAAAACACACTTTAATCATAGTATATTGATATTACTGTTCATGAAGGCAGTCACTTTTTGTAACATCTTTCTAAATTAGACCAAGTTCTTAGGAACTATTAGAACTGAGTTGTTGAGGACTCCTAATTAATAAAGGAATAAAGTACATAATTTTACAGCTATGCTACATAAATAGAAGTTTTTACTGACCATACTATTTTTACTGCAAGTGTGATTATTTATTTATTTATGAGAATTTATATGGCCACTCATTCACTTTCAGTGACTCTGGATTGCTTACAAAAAAACTAAACCACAATATACAAATAGTGAAAACAACACCTCCCCACACCTTTTTTGTTCATAAGTTGACCATTTTTGCCAGGATCATAAAGCATAACACAATAATTAAACAAATCCCATGGTTGTTAAGTGAATCCAGCATATCCAGTGGACACTGCAACTGATCATAAATGTAAGCTAGTTGCCTAGCGCCCCAAATGCAATCACACGATCCACAGGGGTATGCAGCACTCGTGACTTCAAGAGCAGGTCATAAGTAGCTTTTTTAAAAGTCCGACAAAACTTTGAAGAGTTAAGCGAGGATTACCTATAAATCCAAGAAATCAGAAGTACATTAGTGGGAAGCCATCTATCAGTTGCTTACTGTTTGAACAATAATACAAGTACGTTAGTAAAAAAAGGTTTATTGGCCTGTTTTTGATGTTCATGGTTCTAAAGAAAAACATGGAAAACTCTTCAACGTCAAGCCATTTAATAAGTTAATTAGCCATCAGAAGTTCAAGTGGAAATAGGCTGGTTTGCAGAATATTTATCAGAGAATCTTTATTGGGATCATGTCAGATGACTAGAACATTTTGTGCAGAAATTTTTTAGAGTTGGGCAGTTTTATGATACTTTACTTTTATTGCCTATTGCTCAATATTGTTTCAAATATTATTATAATAATTTTCTCTACACAGAGCTTTTGTTTATTTAAATGTACTTTTCACACTGCATAAAATAGTTTAAATATACTTTTCCTTGCATCAAATAATATAATCCAAATACTTTTGCAGACTGAAATTAATGCATAGGATGCAATAGGAAGATATTTCAATTTAAAATATCCTAAAAATCTATCCTATAAAGCAGTGGTGGGGAACTATGACCCTTTTATGACTTGTGGACTTCAGTTCCCAGAACTGGAATTCTGGGAGTTGAAGTCCACAAGTCATAAAGGGGCCATAGTTCCCCACCTCTGCAAAAGGAACTCTAATTTTAAGCCATTTTCCCTCTTCTCTTTATCCCCAAGGATAACCTTCAGTAAAGATTTTTTACATTGTTAGAGAAAGATCATGAATGGCAGTCATTTAAGCTTTATTTCCAATAACTGCTCTAGAATTGTCCTTGAATGCAATAAAAATAGTCAGTTTGCAAGCTGCAGTTATTGACAGCTGTGTTCAGGCACTTTCTCTAAGGAGCATAGCAGAACTTGGAAATGTGGTTAAAATCATAGGGAGGAAATTGTACAATTGCTGATATCCAGTCAGCTGATAATGATTAAATGCTTTTTTGGAATGGCAATAAGAGGAAATGTAATTCTTTATTTATGTATTTATTGGCTCTTCTTTTACCATTTTACATACATAACATGTTTCCTTAACACTTTACATACACATCTCCATGTATACCACATACCTGAGCAAGTGAAGGAATCAAGAACACAAGCAGAACAGGTAGACAGGCAGCTCTCTAGTTTAAAGGCAGTTTTTAAGAAGAGACTGGACAGCCATTTGTCCGAAATGGTATAGGGTTTCCTGCCTGAGCAGGGGGTTGGACTAGATGATCTCCAAGGTCCCTTCCAACTTTACTACTACTACTACTACTACTACTACTACTACTACTACTACTACTACTACTACTACTATTATTATTATTATTATTATTATTATTATTATTATTATTATTAAAGCTTTCACTTGTGGCAAGATAAGTGACTGCATGGATGCAGCAAGATTCCATATTGACAATTATGCACAGAATGCATAAGTGGTATTTGCTACATCTTTTCAGTTTGAATTACATCTAAAATATTCATACTATGTTTAACTGGAAATTTTATATCCTTGATACCTATGTATAAGTAATTTCTTTTAGGATAAATATATTAGCCATTTTACTTGTTATCAAATTCTGGAGCAAGGCTAATTTTATCTAATGAAACAAATTGTTGATTACAGAAAGAAAAAATGTGAACTTGCAACACTTTAATTGAACATATCTGAATTTTGATTTGTTAAACATTGTTTTGTCCCATCTAAATAAAATGTTGTCTATCCTAAGTTTGAAAAGTGAAGAATAGCAACAGGAAAGGAATACGTGCAAAAGTATATATTAATCCATAGTACACAATATGCCACAGAGTGAGTATTTCACTCTTAGAAATGAGCAAAAGGCATGGTTCAACGGAACACCATCAACTTTAATTTTAAGGAATTGACTAGATTATTAGCAAAGGAATAAAATAGACTCTTGCCTGCTCCACACAGACGTTTTAAATTTTACCCAATCTATCTGCCAAACTTTCTAAAGATTTTCGTAGAGTCAGACAAATACATCTACAGTACTTCCAATTAATACATGAATGGAGCATGCAGGCTGCATTGGTATGGACCCCAAAGATCTTAAAATAAATTATGTACAAATCATTTCAACAGCTTATAAGATATCAATGGAATATGTTGAATTTGATAATAATATTTTGCCAGAATTACTATTTAGAATTTGTTAAATTTGTGGTCTGTGTGCACATGTGTGTATCTTTGAATCAATCTTGATTCCTGGCAACTGCCTGGACTAGCCCCTGCAGTTTTCTTGGAAATATTTTTTGGAAGTGATTTGCCATTACTTTCTTCCTAGAGCTGAGAGAGATTGACTGGCCCAAGGTAACCCAATTGGTTTTCTGCCTAAGGAAAGACCAGAACTCATGGTTTTCTAGTTTCTAATGTGCCTTAACCACTACATCAAATTGGCTCTCTTAAATTGGTCTTAAATATATTTAAAAATACAACTACCTTAGCCTTGGAAAATAATCATCTCTGCAAAAGTCAGTATTCTAACACATGGTCAATGTTGGTTGGCAGAGAAGGTATGTATTCAGAATTAATGGGAAGAACAATAATACTAATAGAGGAATTTTGTGATAGAACAGAATCTGTTGGATTCCTATATCCAGGCAAGTCTTTCAAATGAAATTTCTTTTTGTTTGTTTGTTGCTTATACCTTCTCTCATCTCTGTCAAATGCTAGTCTGATGCATTATTTCCTGAGACTGAAAGTTGTGCTTATCTGACTTTCCCCATCACACACCTATTTTGGGCCTAATTATGAAAATTTTGGCAACTGCTTCGGGAGATCCCCTATTACTGGATGAGCTAATGGTGCAGCATTTCCATATTCTGATCTCCTTCAGCCATTTACTTACAAAATAGAGTTCAGCCTCTTAAGTAAATATACCCTATACCTAGGGGTTTCTTCATTTAAAACAGACCAACCTATCAAAAATAGTGCCATAAAAAACAGAATAGAAACACAAGTTAAGATAGGCAAGAAAATAGTAAGTGAGCACCTGTCCAGCCTAGACGAGTTCAAATCGCCAGGACCAGATGGATTACACCCCAAGGTTCTCAAGGAACTAGCAAATGTGATCTCTGAACCACTGAACTATATTTTTCAAAGATNAGAGAAGGACGAGGGGGGACATGATAGCAGTGTTCCAATATCTCAGGGGTTGCCATAAAGAAGAGGGAGTCAAGCTATTTTCCAAAGCGCCTGGAGGCAGGACAAGAAGCAACGGGTGGAAACTAATCAAGGAGAGAAGCAACCTAGAACTAAGGAGAAACTTCCTGACAGTGAGAACAATTAACCAGTGGAACAACCTACCTCCAGAAGCGGTGAATGCTCCAACACTGGAAGTTTTTAAGAAGAGACTGGACAGCCATTTGTCCGAAATGGTATAGGGTTTCCTGCCTGAGCAGGGGATTGGACTAGATGACCTTCAAGGTCCCTTCCAACTTTACTATTATTATTATTATAGATGAGCGTTCAGGACAATCTTGGGCTGATTCTTCCTTTCTTAAATTTTAGGATACTGGAGTTGGCAAATCAAGTATAGTTTGTCGATTTGTTCAGGATCATTTTGACCACAATATTAGCCCTACTATTGGGTAAGTACCATGTACAGTTAAGCTAAATAAACACTAATGAATTCTTTCGTAATTTAAAGTAGGGAAAGTTCTTTATTCAAGATAGCTGTATAGGTACTACAGATTCTGTCCTTAGGTTAACATGGAATGTTATTGAGTGATCATGTTACCACCTTCTATTAACGCCAACTGCAAAGTACTTAAATTTTTCTGCAATTTGTTTGTTGAGCTCCTACAATTTCCGCAACACTACCCAAACCAAGCAATTTAGGCCTATTTTGGGGTAGGGGATTATATATTTTTAAGGGTAGAGATGAGAGGAATATTCTCCTATTCCCATTCCCATTCTTAAAATTCTGAAAAGTGGATAGCAGGATTGATCTCGCCTATTACAATTACACTTATTTGTTACATGTTTTTATCCTGCTTTTATTTTTTATAAATACCTCAAAGTGGTGAATATACCTAATATTCCTTCCTCCTATTTTTCCCACAACAACAACCCTGTAAGGTGGGTTGGACTGAAAGTCACCCAGATGCCTTTCATGCCTAAGCAGCCTTCCAATTTCTAACTTGATGTTTTAACCACTATATCAAATTGTCTCTTTATGCCATAAGATGACTTCTTATGGCTCTCCAGAAGGTTTGGATGTATAGTTAACATTTTTTTTCTGTAAATCATTGACGACTCTGATTTAAACCCATAGTTTTTGAAAAGTGCTTTTCATTTAAAATTTATTTATTTATACTTCACATTTCTAAGGCTGACAGGCTCAATAGTGAATCTAGGCAACTGTCCAAAGCAACCGCTGTCGCTGAAAAAAACAATGGGAAGGAAACAAATATATAGTATATCAAATGGATGTACCAGAGTTTACAGTAAAGTTTGTTTTTACTTTAGAAACAGAACTTGTTTTTAGTATTGCAAGGGCAGAAAACAATGACAGAGAGGCAATCTCTCAAATAACTAGGCCCTGTGCCCTGAAGAACTTTACAGACGATAATGAGCACCTTGGATTGCATCCAGAAGTTCATTGGTAACCAGTGCTGCTCACATAGCAGAGATGTTACATCAGTGTTTTGAGGCAGGCCCATAACAGTTTGTGTCATTGAATTCTGGACCAGCTGAAGCTTCTAAGTGGGCTTCAAGGGCACTCCCATGTATATGTGACTAAGGCATGAGTGATTGTGAGAAGAAATTTCCAGTGAAGGGAAAGGGGTACTTGGCACATCAGGTCAATATGTGCAAAGGACTTCCTGGCCACAGTCACCACCTATTCTTTGAGCAGGATCTGTGCGTTCAGAAGGACTGCCAAATCACAAACCACTTTTGTATGGAAAATACAACTTTATTCAAAACTAAAGATAGAAATATCTGATATTGGAAAAATCATAAAGCTATAGTTACTTCTACTTGTCAGAATTAGGTCAGTTCCTTCCCATCCAGACCTCAACAGCTTCCAGATTCTGTGACAACAGCAACACTGGTCAACCAGGCGTTGAAATATGCAGCTGAGTACCATCAACCTACTAAAGATGTCTGCCTAATGATGCTTTAATTACCACTTCATTGTTAAACAGGAGGGATAAGAACAGTGAGTCTTAGGCATCCACAAACTAAAAGCGTTGGACTTGACCTTTGTCCAATTACAATTAGTATTCCATTTATATTGTTATATAATTAATTGAAAAGTGGGAAATAATTATCTAGATGATGATAATAATTTATGCAGGAAATCTTAAACACTACCATGCAGGGAAAAAAATGAATCTGTCTGTTTGTTGTTGTTGTTGTTGCTTAGAATTAAATATAGCTTAGAATAAAGATTACTGTTTTACTTAATCTCTCCTTATCTACTTGAATGTTACTGAAAATCAAATTATAATATTTAGGATGGATCAGCTGAAATTTCCTAGGCATGTATTTGCTTCACTTGAAAGAACAATTTCATTTTGTAATTCATCACATTTTAACAAGATAGGATAGTGTGGTTTAAGTGGCTACTATATCATTCATCTTCATTAATTCTTCTAGTATCTCAAATTTTACAAATGTGCATTCTTTCTAGAAAACAATAACTTATTTTCCTATTTAAAAATAGTGCTGCACATATATGCATCATTGTTTAACTTTTAGCTTGCCTGAAATATCTGTAAAATGTTTGCTATTTCTCAAAACATTAAGGAGAAATGCTTTGTTTTCTTGTGAAGATTAGATTCCTGAAAAATATTGTTTTCTTAAATACATGCACAGTAATTTAATGTAAACTCTGCTTATTTTTAAACAATGTGCAACTTTTCTTGCAAATTTTAGAGCTTCTTTTATGACTAAAACAGTTCCTTGTGGGAATGAGCTTCATAAATTTCTGATCTGGGATACAGCAGGTCAGGAGAGGGTGAGTATGAATCTTTTATCTAAAGACAATTGCAGGCCATATTCTGTATTGTTAATAAAGCAGGGGGAAGTAGCATCTGTAACATAGATACTGAAGGTAAGAAGGCATGGTATGTTTATATTGTTTTAAACATCACAGTAATCTAAATTCTTCAGTTACAAAAATGAATTCTACCACTGGCATGGCTTATGCAATAAACAATTTGGGTTTTTTCCTCCATTCCCAATAAGTTTCCTTAATACACATTAATGGGTCTTCCATTTCAAAAGCATGTAATTGACGAAGTTCCATCTTAGCCATCTAAAGACATTAAGTATAATTTCTTGCATACATATTCAAAATTTCTTTAGTCTGCCTTTCCAAATTACTACCATAGGATTTTTAAATTTGTCTTCTTTCATGGAGGACTACTATTGTCCTACCCTGTTTAAAATCTTTAAAAGCATCCCAATCTTCAGATTTGTTGAATCTGCTGAGCAAACTGGATCATCAACAATGCATTAAAATCTTAAACTGCAATATTATGAAGAATTTTGTCTATGGAGATTCTCAGTCATCCAGTCGTGGTTGTCCCAAAAGTGCTTTTTCAGGAGGCAACTGGACTTTCTTGTTTTTTCTTTGAAGACATTTCACTTTCATCCAAGAAGCTTCTTCAGCTCTGATTGGATGGTGGGGAATGGAAGGATTTATATTCCTTGCAGATAGCTGATCATTTGCATTCTTTTAGAGAGCCATTAAAGAGTCAGTTTGAGATGTTGACAACACAGATTCATCCCCAACAGCCTGTGCCTGTCTTCAACAGTGAAGGAACACAGAGCAGAAAACATCCTGCAGCCAAGAAGGCTCCACACCACATTTGCACTACTTAGGTGACCCTGAGGACACATATAAACCGCCAAATGGTCTCAATGACACTCTAAAAGAATGCAAGTGACCTCCTTCCATTCCCTACCATCCAGTCAGACCTGAAGAAGCTTTTTGGATGAGAAGTGAAAAGTCTTCAAAGAAAAAACAAGAAAGTCCAGTTGCTTCCTGAAAAACCACCTTTGGGACTATAAAGAATTTTGTGCATCATTTGCAACAGCCTGTTCCTGCTTGCCCCTGCCAAAACATATTCAAAATACTCTAGTGCTGTAGCTTTGAAAGAAGAAATACTCTTCCCAACTAATTAATTATTTCTACTAGTTTAAGTTGCCAGTTCTGTGTCTTGATGTGTGGCATAGAAGGATAAGACTAAATCAGCACTTCAAGATATTCCAGTTTTCCCTGTTCTGACAGAAACGATTTTATAATAGAGATTAAACAAATGGAGCACTAAATCATCAATAGATTGACGCTTCCAGAATCACAATAATATGCAGTCAATTCTAGTTCCAGGTTTCTGGAAAGGCAAAAATTTTGAACCACTAGAATCTTCTAATTTCTGCTTTCTCAGGATCTTCTAGGCTTCAGCTAATGGCCCAATCTCTGAACTATTTCCATGTCTTTCTCTCACCCTATTGCGGACATGATGTTCTTATTTCCTGCAACTGGCTTCAAAGGA